AAAGCATCTTTAGCATGCCTGAGAACAGGAAGAAAATGTGCCACATAATCTGCCATTCTGTCAAACAAGTGCTCTTGGTTAAGCTTCAAAGGGGAAAAAATCAGGGCAAAGATACCTACATAAATTCAGATATGGCTGTGTGCAAAATAGCGATGCACAACACTGTCAAACTCACAGTTATCTGAGGTGAGGCACTGCCAACACAAAGGAACAGCACCAAAACACATATCCCTAAATTATTGCCCTCTCTTACTCCAACACATCCTTCTTCTAAACATTTTAACAACTTCTAAGTGTTTAATCGGTTAAGTGTTTAATCGGTTCTGAGTGTATTGAAGTAGTTCCTGATTCAGAACAGCACTGAAAAACATGAAGTATCTGAAGCATATGTTAAGTTTATCAGCCAACAATTAAGACAGAATCTAAGTGAGGTACTGAACCAAAGCCCGTGCACATAATCACAGCCTCCTGCCACAGGAATATTTTCCTCCTCTTCTTAATAAAGAACATAGTGACCATCTGAGATAACAGAACCCACACAATTTTGATCTATGCTCTTAACCTAAATATTCCAAACTCATACCTTGTATAAAATTTAGCACCATTACACAAAGTAAGCAAAGTAAATTAAACAGTCAATTTCATCTAAAAGTTTATTTTAAGCTTCATGATAAAAACCTGCCAACTAAACTAATTCTCCATATGCTCAACTACAGCTTCCCAAAGTTACATGAAAAGGTAACTTGGACCTACAGCTGATGCAGTTGAGCTGCATGAGTAAAACACATTTTTGTACGTGTGGGATATGCAGATTTTTTGTTTGATAATAAAAGCCATAACAACACTTAAAATTACTTTACATGTTAAACTTCTGGAGAAACCATGGCCACAAAGAATCCTGAAGCACTGCAACAGATTATTTTGAGAGAAACAGACTTCGAGAACAATTTTCTATCAAAACAACAAAAAATATTCAGTACAATGAATGCAGGGATTTAAAACTCCTAAAACCACAAAGCAAATCATAACAGGACAAAGGTAAAAAGTACAAGGATTTTAATTTGAAACATGATCCACAAGCACATAGGAACTTCTTTCAGCTTGCAGAAATACTGAAGAGAAAAACTTGCAGGGGGAATGTTTAACTTTTACTGAGAGAAACAAAAGCAGCTTCTTTAGGTATCTCAAAATCAGGCTGTCAAAACACAGGGACTGATTTGCATTTGCCAGACACCTGCAAGTCTCTCAGTCTGTTACTGATTTTTCTTTTCAATTTTCAGGAAACATAAGACTAAAAGTCTAAACATTTAAAGTTTAAACCACAAAAACGTTCTTGTTTGATAGAAAATTAGTAAGGCATCCAGTCACACCTGCTGTATTAATTCCCATTGAAGATGAGTAAAAAACCCCAGAATTTACACTTTTTATGGTGGCCAGTCCTCATATTTACACAGTGTTTGGAATTTCCATTACCCAATATATCTGAATTCCTGTAGTCTTACAAAAAACTGAATGACTTAGTTTGCTATCAGAGGTATTTTTCTGATTTCCATGTCAAACCATATTCATAAGACAGAATGCTGTGTACTATTTTACATGCAAGCTAAAGAAACTCACCTCTACATTTCTACTGTTTGACTCCTCAGCAATGTATCTGGGAACCTGAAAAAATTATAAATACTTATTTCATAATTAATTCTATTTCACACATGAAATAAACAGTATTTTCAGCTAAGAGAATGCACACTACGAAGTGTGAATATATTTCAGATAAAGAACAAAGGTGTAAAACAGCTACCTAGGTGACTATAAGATACTCTTAGAAATATAAAGAAACCAAAGTAGTTTTTCAAGCTGGGTTTTTTGCCTCCTAAAAAACATACAGAGATAGATGTAATTCTATTTCTGTATCCAAGGGGGGAAAAAAAGAAAATTTGATTTTTCTTGTCTTATCCATAAAAAGAATTAAAATTATTTAATACTCCTTTGCTCTCCACATCTCACGTGTCTCAGTCAGAGCTCCCTCTGTAGCAACTTGCTCAGTAACAATGTTTTAAAAATTTAGCCATGTTTAGCAAGAAGTAGGAGCTGGATTGACGATTTTTTTTATTAAAAGCTCCAAGCAGGCAAAGACCTTACATATATCTGGATCTACACCTAAAGGCGCCAACACACAAAACTTAACACACTGCACAGGCCCCCTGGAAGGATTGGAAAGCTTAAAAGTTGCCATTTTATGCTCATCTTGCCTTTATTAACACTGTGGGGAACTGGCTTGCCTAGACTTTTGCCTGCATCTTGTTTAGGCCTAAACAATATGTTCCTAAAACCCAGGCAGAACTGGGGCTTTAGTTTATTAGGTTTTTTCAAATGATGAACTTGACACTTCACACTGACAGACTGAGGGAAAGCTGTAAACACTTATCTGGGCCAATGCCTGCTGGGTGCTCTGTTCAAGGGCAGGGAGATGCTCCTCTAGATGCACAGGGCCACACTGGCATGAGAAGACCTTTTGAGCACATTTCTGTGCCTCAGTGACATGTGTTTATTGTCTTTTCCAAGTCTGAGTGTGGTCTGATGTTCATACAGATATTTACATATAACACTAAAGGAATAATCCTTTTGTAACTTACCCAGCAAAAAGTAAGGGTCATCAACAGAGATACAGCTCAGCCACTCTTGCAACCAGTATATTGTAAAAACAGCTTGTTCTGGAAATTATAGAAATGTAAATCTTAAATTAAGTAATCTGTGAACTTTATTTTGCATAAAGAATCGCAATACAAGTATAACTGCATTTTACATCTAAGAATCTCTAATTCTGGCAACACTGCAATGCAGACTGTGCTTTCCTCCTCTCTCATGTTCTGCATTCAGAGAGGATTACATCATCTCAAAGAGCCAGAAAAACAGAAATAGACCAGGGAGGCCCATTACAGCAGACACAGAGTAATTAAAAAGACTATAACTTTTTAGTTAGAGAAGGAGATAACTCAAGAAAAAAGGGTCATTATGTTTCTAAAGAGACAAATAAAATCATGTGCAATTTAAGTTCTCGGAAAGGCCAGTAATGCCTTCCATCTGTTGAGAACAGCCTTGGAAGCTCAGGAGGAAACTGATCCTTGATCTAGCAAAGAACTTAAACTAGCAGCTTAAACATTTGAGCAAATTGTTGGAACCAAAGGTAGTTGTTTGAACTTAATCATCAAATTGATCACTTCACTGAAAATACTCAGCAAGCATTAAAACAGAGTTATCAGTGTGTTTTTAAGCTGAAGGTATTGCTGAAGGACATTGACATGCTCTATTGTAACAGCATGGCAGAAAGGCAAATTATTTCTTTAAAAAAGCAAATCAATGAAATGTTATTGACTGCACTGAAACTATTAACACACACAGGCTCATTCTGTGATGCTGCAATTTCAGGGTAAAATGGTTAACTAAAACCAACTTTAAAATGTAAAAAATTCAATACTTTGTTTTTATATTATCCTAAATGTGTTTCCATTTTCATGTCAGGTTCCTCCTCCTATATTTTTATTTTTATATTTCATTATAAAAAATAATTTTATAATTAAATGCTCCATATCTTTTCAAGCATTTTTTGTTTCTTTGTCCCAATGGGGGAAAAAGTTCTGGTTCAAAGCTCAAAAGAGCAAATTTTCTGGTTTAAAATATTTGAGTGAATTAATACTTGCAAATAACATAGGCAGGTCAAAAGGAATGTCCTGCCTCTTCTGACAAATCACTGGTAACCACATTGTACTAAATTCTTCAACAAACCAGAAAGGCATCTATAGTCAAATATTTCCCTAGCAGTACTACTAGTGTAAGAAAAGAGAGAAAGGTAAGATCAGAACCAACTTTTCATCCTCATCAGAACCTTCTGCCTCAGGGTTCAGGACTCTCTCTTATGTTAGTAACGGCATGGCCTGATCAAATCTTTTAAACAAAGCTTGATTCAGGATCTTGACTCAAGCAAGGTTCCAACCACAGAAAATTGCTGTACAGCACACAGGCATTTTCCTCTATGGTATAGGTGTAAGAAAAAATAAAGTTAACAGCAGAGAGGCTGCTCTCTTAAAGGTGTGCCATTTCTACAAAGCTCTTTTGCAGCGCCCAAGGGTCTTGGAAATACAACCTACACTCAAACTCAATTCTCAGTTTATAAATTCTCATTTATAGGGTTTTGTTCTTCCAATAGACAAAATACTACTTCATATCCTTAGATGTTAAGAAACATACTAAATACGTGAAAGATATGTAAAGGCACGGGATCACAAAGACAGAACTTCCATTTCCATCTCACTACCTCCACAATATTATACTATTATTATTCATGCACTTCTAAAGTGCACACTGAAGAAAAAGTGACAAATCTGCCACTATTCTCTCGTATTCAGTAATTTGTTTACAAGCTGGAAGCTCTGTGAAGATTGCAGATTAGCCGAAATTCACCCTAAAGGCTGAATATTGGGTAAATGCTACAATGGAGCAGCATCCTCAACCAGGCCAAGGAATCCCACAGAAGAGATCCCATATTCCCTTTAGAGAGAGATTCAAAATAAGCAGAGGAATGTGGCAGCACAATTCCTCCAGCCAATAAATATGCTCAAAGGATTCCACTGGGTGACGGGAAAAAAACAGAGTAAAAAAAAAAAAAAATTCTGATCTATCTTTCCTGGAGTTCTGATGGGAGTCAAAGCCGCAGCCTCACACCCAGGCGGTGCCGCCTCACAGAGAGGGCAGCGCTGGGCAGGGACGCAGGGCAGGAAACACCTGGCGCGGGCCCAGCTGGGAACGGCGGGATTCTCCCCCCTGCCCAGGGAGCTGGAAGTGGTTTCTGCCCAGAATCTGTGACCCAAAGTACGGAACAGCCCACGCGGGGCGTGAGGCGCCCAGAGCAACGCAGCCCCCGCAGGCAGAGGCGGCCCGCGGGAGCCGCGCTCAGCCCCGGGCTGTTTCCGTTCCCCGCCTCCCCGCGGCGGCCGAGCCCGGCACTTTCGTTCCGGGGCCTGCGAGGGCCGCGCGGGTGCCGCGCCGGGCGGCGGGTGAGGAGCGGGCGGTGCGGGGGCGCTGGAGCCGGGCGAGGAGCGGCTGAGGAGCTCCCATCCCGGCGCGGCGGTGGCGGCAGGAGAGAGGAGGCAGCGCGGCTCGGGAGCGCCGAGGGGCCGCGCTGTGCGCGGGGCGGGCTCGGGCGGCCCGCGGTGGGAAGCGGCTTTGCGCCCACGGGGGCCGCGGTGCCGCTGCGGCGGCGGGACGGGGCCGGTCAGGCACCGAGCGGCAGAACCGCGCTGTTACCGGGGCAGAGACAGCGGCCCAGGGCTGTGCCCGCCCAGCGCCCTGCGCTGTCCGCCCGCAGAACCTGCGCTCCGAGCCGGCCTGCGCTCACCCCGCCGGGCTGATAGCAGCGAGCAGCGGCATGGCCGGGGCTGTGGCACCCCTGAGCTGTACACCGGCGTGCACCGACCGACCTGCTGAGTTGTCCTAGAATTGCGGCTGAAGGGTGGAGGGTACCCCCCACCGGTAGCGATTTACCAGGGCTTTAGAGATGAGGTGCAGATGCAGTTGTTGTTTAGTCTTAAAAATATCTGTCTGAAATGAGATTTAGATCTCAAAGTTCTAGTCTGTCATTTTCTGAAGTGTACTGTACTGTATGTATGGTGCTGCAGCCTGGGCACAGCTATTAGTTCGAGGCCACAGCATCCCCTGTCAGCATCGATAACAAAAGTGCTCCAGGGTGTCACCGTTGAGCGGCACAGAGTGTAAGACATTCCGCTGAAAAGAGTCAGTTTGCAGGCTGGGAATGCATGTCCAATTCCAGGGCCTCTCGCCCTCTGCTTCTTGAGGAAACTTAATAATAGCACAGGTTGCTCTGAGATGTAAACTATACTGGCTTTATCTCAGGGAAACTTGAAAGCAAATTGCACTAGAAAATTCGTATGCATATTAGATTTTGTGTTTATTTGAGTGGACTTCTCTGACCCTTTCAAAAGTTAGACCTTGGCAGAGGCAGAGGGAACGGTATCATAGCATGCATGAATATTTAATTTTACCAGAAAATAACAATTTTTTCTGGAATTGATTTTAATTTGGTGTTGGAAACTTAGCTTAGTTTTTTGGTTTTGTTACTTTCCAATTACATTACACTTGATTTTATTTAAACGCTTCATTTTGGATTACATTTCAGGACTTACTGTTTGTTTGTTTTTGTTAAACATGACTTTGCTACACGATTTCATAAGTGTGATCCTTGACATGAAAAAGTAAACCTAAATTAGCTGAAAGTAAATCCTGAGAAGAACTTCTTTCATTGCATGTGATGCAGCACAAAGTGCCAAAGGCAGTTTATAACTACTGCAGGCTGGGCAGGCTCCTGACTGGGGCTGCTTTGGGGCTGAGAGCAGTGAGAGGGGACTGTGACAGCACAGCAGCACTAATTCTGTCTGCCCCAGGGTGGGCACATGGTCATGTTTCTCATGCCTTGCTACATGGTGAAAATTCTGTGCCAGCTGTAGAGGGTAAGACAACAGCTGTCCTGAGGAAAGCCTGACAAAAATCCATCAATAGTACTAAAAAAACACAAACTTGTGTAAGTCTAGACTGGGTCAGCACTTAGTATCTGGAACATGGGGCACCAAAGCCCTTTTCTAGCTGTTACTTTTCAGCCTCAAGCTCTTCTCCTGGAAAATTTCTTTTATTTCACAAAGTTCTATCCAACAGGAATTTCATTCAGGTTATTTGGTTTGCCCACACACAATAAATTTTAGGATAAAGATCTAAATTAGCACAATTAACTTTTGTCTTACAAATTTCTATCCTGTAGGCATATAATTCCTTGTCAGTAGTCATATTGGAGACAAATGGGATTGCTTGTCCAGGTAAACACTGCTTACAGTGTTTTCATAAGCTTCTAGGCACAAATCTTAACAACAGAGAAATAATAGACTTCTGCAGGACTTAAATGAGTGGGATAGTGAATGTGCATCTCTGCGTTAAGGATGCAGATCTCGAGTTCTTTCCAGTTTATCTCATGCAAATCTCTTGAATCAGATGATTTTATTATTCTTTCTGTTGTAGGAAACCTGTTCTTAAACAGGATAATACAGAATATTTTCCAGTAGATTAGTTCATAGTAATTGGCTTTTTATTTAACAACATTTTGTCTGTTTCAGCTAACCATGTCTTTAAATTCATCTACACTTTTAAATGAAGGAAATGCTCAAGGAGCAAAAAGAAATACTGAGTGTTTGGAAAGCCTACTGCAGAGTCCATCATCTGTTCAAGATAATCCACTTCAACAATTACAGTTAGCATCCCAGGAAGTACTGAAAAAAGCAAAAAAGAGTGGGAGATCAAAATGCCCCCGATGCAATAGTTCAAGGATGTTTTATTGTTATACATGCTTTGTTCCTGTTGAAACTGTCCCTACCAAAGAAATTCCAACTGTGAAGGTTAGTATTTCTTAATATTTTTTTATAATATCTTTGGGGTTTTAGTTACTATGGACAGAGAATAGTGTCTGCAGCCATTTCTTTTCTGACTCATTCTTTACAGACATTCATTTTGAACACAGCTATAAGTATGAATAAACTACAGTTAGATAAAATTACTGTTCTTACTTGAGGAATTACATGTACAAACACTGAAAATGTTCCAATCCTCACATAAACATTTATGTATCTTCTAGATGAGAATATAGGCTGAAGTCACTCAGCTTCTCATGCAACTGTGTTTCCACTTAGTTGTAGAAAGTTTCTTTATGGTGCTCTTGCACATTCTTCAGTTTCTAATAACTCTGGCCAGAAAATGTTATATTGGGAACAAAAAATTTGTCCAAAACCAAGGATGAATTTTACATAAAATGTGACCTAAAAGACATTCCTGTATGTCATGGTTCTATAATTTAGATAACACTGTTAAAATATAAATAGTGAAATGCCTTTCAGCTGACTTACTTGGGGAAACTATCAGAGAGGACTGAGACATTTTGCAAAATCATTTAGGATCTAAGATGCGTTTTGAAGACAGTGGAGTTTGAAAGCATCATAAAAATACTTTAGAAGTAATTTTGAAATTTGACCTAGTAAACTTAGGTATATTTTCATTGAAATTGTAATTTTCACAGTTGGGTGTATTACTAATAGAGATAGCACCATTATATTGCTCAAATTAAGAGCACATCCAGCTTACCTTATTGTAAGGTAGATTTCTGTAGATTGGCAGCATTCCAAAGTGCATCACTGCTTACTCAGCTATTTGCATAAATTGAATGTAGTAGGTGCTTCTTCTAACTTGTCTCTAGTTTAGTTCTAAACCTATAAAAAAATCATCACATACATTTTAATTACACACCCATAGGAATTTCTTCCAAATTTTGAATAAGTTCTTGTTTGTTTCTAATAGATAAGTTCTTGTAAGTTCTAATAAGTTTCTAAGAGGGTTCTGATAAGTTCTTGTAAGTTTCTAATAGTTGTTTGTAAATATGATGATGAACACTGCTTTTTTCTCCTTTTGCTCTAGTTACCTTTGAAGATTGACATTATTAAACACCCAAACGAAACTGACGGCAAAAGCACGGCTGTGCACGCTAAGCTCCTGGCACCTGATGATGTCACCATTTATAAATACCCCTGCATTCCAGAGTATGAAGAGAAGAGACACGAAGTAAGAGATTCTCTAGAGATAGCCAGGCTCTGTGCTGGGGAGGTGCAGCTTCCTCCTGCAGTGGTAGTGCCCTGCAGGGAGGAAACCACTGTTCCATTAGTGCAGTCCATCCTGTGCTGTCTCAAAGACTAGCTCTGCAAACACACAGTTCTGGACTGTAACCTTTTCTCCAAAGCTGGGAAAGACCGCAGCACTATTTAACCACCTTGAATTTTCTGTGTTCATCTCCTCACATAATGGAGAACTGGATTTACTGTGTATCTGAAGAAATATTTCACCTATATTTAAAGTATTCAGCTTGGAGCAAGTTAAACAGCAGTTGAATGTTGTGCTCATATTTAGCAGCTGCATCCAGATACATACCTTTCCACAACCTCCTTAAAATTTTTAACATTCACTATGACACAGGAAAACAGCTCAAATTAAAGTCTTGTCTATCATAGCATAGAGCACAACAAAAGTGAGTTATGAACTCAGATATGTATGTTCATCTAAATGGTAAGCTATCCTTTTTGGCCCTCCTGCCCCATACACTGCAGTGACAAGTGACATTTGAACTTCTTCAGGGCTGACATCATTGTCTTGGCTAAAAAATCTTTTTATACAGAAGTGTTAGAGTTGGTAGTAGAGGCATGGAAGTAACATTAATTTAAGATCTCTGTTAAGAATCTCAATTCATTGACATGTTTTTAACGTGGATTTAATGCTGTGTTGGACAATAGAATATTTTTAAGAGATACTATTTCAATTTGTCCTGACTTAAATGTTTATAGACAGGGTAGAAAATTTCTGTTCTTTAATATAACAATTCCTGTTGTTCTGTTAGATTTTATTGACACTCAGATCTCTTTGTTTTCTCCATTCAGATAGCACTTATATTTCCTGGCCCAAATTCAGTTTCAGTGAAAGATATTGCTTTCCATCTCCAAAAGTACACCAAGAAAGGTGTCTGTCCTAGTGACGATAACTGTTCCAGAGAGCCCCTTCCTAAACAAGCAAAAATAGAACCTGAAGAAGAAAAAAGTCCAAATGAATGCATCTCAAGCAGCAGGAGTGAAGGCACTAGACTGAAGAAAATAATATTTATTGACAGTACCTGGAATCAAACTAACAAGATAATAACTGATGAACGACTTCAAGGTAAAAAAATACAAGTTGATACTGAGACATTATTGCTGCATAAATGATTAAGGGACATATGTCTGTAACAGGCCTGAGCACAATGTAAGCTTGTATGTACCCCTATCTCTGTGTATGAAGGATTCAGCGGCCTGTTCCAGGGCTGTAAAATACTTCCTGAGCCAAAGACTCCATTACTTTTCATGGCATATAATTTATTTTGCAAAAAGATAATACTAGTACTAAGAAAGCATTTACATTTACTCGTCTCACTTCTCTGTTGGAGCGAATTTCCTCAGTCTCAGAGAATGGAAGCTGTCATGTTAGACAGTAGAACAGGAGTTAGAAAGGCCTCTGAAGGGGAAGCCAGGAAGATTTTTTTGCAGGTGGCTGCCTGCTTTCCAGAGACCCACGGGAGCATTTGTGTACAAGTTTGTGGCAGACAGGCCCCAAGAAGATAAATAAGGGATTTAGGAGGTTCAGCACAGGTTTGTCATGCCTTGGGTTCTCTTTCTCCTCAAATTGTTAATGGACATTTCCATGATCTCAGGATGGCTGCTTGCCCTCCACACCCTTCCAACTCTGAGAGCAGAAATTGGTAATTCTGCAAAAAGTTTTTGTCTTAGGCTCTTTACAAGAAGTTTACATTTAAGCATTCTAATTAAAACCACAAAAGACAAAACAATTTAGCAATAGCATTCCATTTCTTTTGAGATGAATAGGAGTTTGAAAATACTTTCATTAGTGCAAAAAGTGCACTTAGCTGGGAGGCAGGTTGTCAAGTTTATATGCAATATACACATATATATATATATACATTACATATATATATGTATACACACACATATACACTACTACTGGATCCTACAAGGAATTTAACAGACTTTCTTGCATAGAAGATGGATGTTGCCTTGTCTAGTCAGCTTATTAAAGAATCCTACATTAGTATGATGTATTGGCCAATTAAAATCCTGTTATAAGTATTTAGTTTAACACAAAACATACTCTATCAGCTACATTGAAGTATTACTGTAAAGATTAGAGGAATTCCATGTTACCCATTAATGTAAGGCATTTGAAACTTACTTTAAGAGGACAAATTCAAGGAAAATAAGAGGCTGCCAGGGGAACTGAAAATTTCCATGGAAGCCTATGCATATATTTGTCACAAAGACTTAATTGGTGTTACTTTGGAGCTCTTGAATAGTTTCCAGTTTCCCCATGAGAATGCTGATTTGATGTACTACTCTCTCCTTTCTAGTACATCACAGTTCCAGCTGTTTTCCAGCTGTTTTTCAGCACCCTGGGTTCCTGAGCACCTTTCAGGATTGCTGTGAGGTTTAATAGTGTCATGCAAGTCAGTTTCTAGTATGGGAGAATTTTACCCATCCACACATTGGGTTTAACAGTGTGCACAGCCTCTGCATGTATTGCTTTCCTTAGTGCCTGTCATAAAGAACATAAATTGCATTAATACCCCTTTTAGAGATTGCAGTTTTCACTTCCAAGATGAATGGGGCAGAGTTTCCTTAGGCATAAACTGATGACATTTTTATGTTGTACATACATGAAAAATAGAGAACTGTTTTCATTTTTCAGTTCAATTGCAAATGAAGTCATCATCCAACAAAATATCCATCATATGTTAAAGCTCAAAAAGGAGTGTTCATAATTCCAAATAAAAAGTAATTGCCATACTTATTAGGATTAAGTTACAGGAAATATTGAAGGAAAACATTAATGTAGCCAAGAAAACATAAAGAAAAGCCTTGTGTTTTGTAAGTTTATATTCATATAGACAGTAAATCTAGTAAATTGTGCTGCAAGAGAAAGCAAATGAGTACATCGATCTTAAAATAAGCTGGGAGAACTTGAACAAAATTAGTTCTATATCTTGGAGAAGTGTTGATATATCTTTAGAAAACAAAACTAAATCAGTTAAAGACAAGAAATACATGAGAGTTGGTAATGTCTAGGATTGATTACTTCATTAAAAGTGATCTCTAGATCAGAAAACAAACAGTTGAATTTAATGTTAATGATGACTTTCTGACATGAGTGATGGAGCTTATTGGCAGCATCACCATGACTGTTAAAGAAACAGATTGCTTTGGTTTTTTTTCCCTGTAAGTTGTAATTGCTTTGTATCAGCCAAATATTTTATTAGCTTATTCATTAGCATTGTGGGGTTTCATGTGAACGGTGAGTATTTGTAAGCAAACATTGCCTTTGGCTGAATACAGATCCAGTACAGATGAAAAGTGCTCAGTAAACTTTTATCCTTAACCCCCTCTGGTTTTGGTTTTTTTTTTTTTTTTATGAAGGGTCCTAAAGTCTTTTGTTTGAAAGTAACTGATACTGCACTTGTGGTAAGCTCAGTAGTGTCCATGGTCTTGCCTTCAGTGAACTTTTGTTTGTGTTCAAACCACAACTACATGGGAGTTGATGCTGGAGGAATCATCCCTGAGATTTTCTTCACTGCTTTTAGGGTGAAAGCACTGTGGATTTGATGGAAGTTTTCATTTTGGTTAGGCCTGAGAATTCAGGTGGTGAAGACTCTTGAGGGCAACAAGCTTGATGCAGTTACCTCCTGCTATTTTAAGTTTCACATGTGTAGGATTATTAGAGGTAATAATTAGACTGTGTGTGCTGTTTTGAGGTTTTGGTTCTGACATGTCAATAATAACATTGAAATTCAGGGACAGACTCTCCTGTTCAGGTTTGGTTTTTTTTAATGCTGTAATTGAGATTTCTTCTACAATGCAGGATACCATACTTTACTAACTGCAAAGCAAACAACTAAATCCCTCTTGCAATTACACTGAAAACAATTAAACACAGTTTGTAGGCTAGAAGTGTACAATTACAAGTGCTAGGCTCTAGCCTGAATTTAGACCTTTCTGAAACTTCCCTGTCCATAACTTCCAAGCAGTTCTTAGACCATACTGGTTTTTGTACTGTTACCTGTATTAAACTGTCCCATGAGACAGAGTATCAGATTGTGATAGAAAAAGATAACTTTACAATCTGCTTCTGATATTGTTGACAGGTGTGTACCATGTTCTTCATGATCCAAGTGCCCATCCTGTTTAAAATTCATCTGAATAATAGAATAGTTACAGAGACTAAAGTAGATAAAAGATTTTTTTTTTTGTGCCATACAGACACCAAATTCCCTCTTTCATCTTAAGTGGGAATGCTTTTAGTATCTAATAAAGTTAATTGCAAGATGCTGTCATACTTACTCCTGAGTAATTTCAATGACATTTCAGTTACTTTACAAGCATAAATACAATTACAATTACAAACTGGCTCTTGTAAATAGTCCTCACTTCAGCAACACTGTGTTGCTAACACTAACAGTCTAAGGGATTCTGTTTTACACTTGATAAGTATTAACTTTGCAAAAGATGAAATAATAATTTTCTGAACATTGGTGAGTCTTGGTAGGTGTGGATTTCACTCTTGCCATGTGAAGCGATTCTGCAGTTTACTGAGGGCTGTGTGGCTGTTTGAATGAAAGGATAACTTGTAATTAACTGCAGATTTGAAGATTGTAACCTAGGAATTACAGCACCTCATCAAATTCCAAAGTGATCCAAAAAGGGAGATAAAATTATTGCCTCAGTTTTAAAGATCAAAAGTGTAGGTACAGGAAGAGAAATTATTTTCATGCAGGCACTGAGCAGGCTAGCAGCAAAATCAGAAAACAAAACTAAAGTCTTGGTGCTAAAGTCTTGTTTGACATTCTGGCCACCAATTCAGATTGTCTAATCTAGGTCATCTTTTTTCCTTGACAGGGTTACTGCAAATTGAGTTGAAGACAAGGAAAACTTGCTTTTGGCGTCATCAGAAGGGAACACCAGATACATACCTTTCCACAATAGAAGCAATTTATTATTTCCTTGTGGACTATCATCAGGAGATTTTGAAAGAGAGCTACAAAGGACAATATGATAATCTGCTTTTTTTCTTTTCATTTATGTATACATTGATTAAAGATGCCAAGTGTTGTGCAGGAAAAAAGTAAGCTGTCTGTCGGTGCATGACACTACTTTTTTTTGTAATAATAACCTGCACAAACATAACTAGGTTTTTTTTTTTGCAAATAGACTGTCCTCTAAATAATATCCAGAAGTGAGCTGCAGACCTCCTCCTGCATGCTTGAGGTTGTAGAACTGCTCACATGAGCAGTCTTATTAGAGTTACTTACTTGAAAACAGTTACATTTTCCTAAATATTGCTGTACTTCAACCTACCGGTCTGATGTGCTCGCTGTGATGAGCACATTTCCTGAGATGGGAGTGGAGGACCTGACCCCTCTTGCTGTAAGGAGTGATCTCTTAACTGTAAGAAGGAATTAGCATGCTGGCTTTTCCATTGTTACTAATACTTCTGTCAGATGGTTTCTTTGTGGTTTACACAGCAATACTGATTTTGCTACAGGGTTACCGAATGAGCAGATGGTGTTTAGTTGCTGGGGTGAGTGGCAGCAAGAGAGAATGAAAGAGCACAGTAATTGAATATGAATTATATATTTTCATGATTAATTCTGGAAAATTCTTCTAGTAATAAACAAGTGGTCTCTTTAAACACTGTTATACAATGTATGATTTCTGTACTACCGTTGATGTACTCTTATATTCTCAACTTCTTGGGTAATTTTAGACTTCTTCAAACAAATTTAGTTGAGGTTTATTACTGTTATATATTATCATTATTTGAGGGAGCACTAACCTAACAAATGTCACTATGGCATATTGTAGGCACCACAAATATTGGTTCTGACCACAATATTTCTGACAAGGCTTCCTTAAACTAGGCAGGCTGTGAATCTGCTCTGCTTTTCCTTTGCAGTAAGGGGCAGATTAGAACAGTCTCAGCAAGACTTAGTGCTGATGAGAGTTTTGTCATGGTTGTGGTGCTGCTGTCAGAGTCATCAGGTGTGAATGCAGTTTTGCCAAGCTACACCAGCACAGCCAGTGCTGGCAGAGGGAACAGACTTGACCTTTCAGCAGAGTTATATGAATATATTTTAGATCGTACATTGATAATTATATTCCTAAGGTAGAAAAAAATATTATTAAAGGTACAATATAAGATGGATAAATATTTCTGGATATTCTTAGAAATGTGTTACTTAAGATGAAATATATCTTGTCAAAGTGACAGACTGAAAAATTATAATAGATTATTTTTTAAACAAAACATCAGAGTTTTTGTTATCATTTGTAGCATACTCTCTAGGAGGGCACTCATACACCCTGGTGAACATAGAAATAATGTCTTGGAAAATACTTCAAGAAAATGTTTTTATACTTACACAGCAGTCCATACAGGCTCAAATAGCTGGTTTGTAAAAAAGAAACTTGCGTTTTTAATAGTGAAAAAACCCCTGCATTTCAAGGTGAAATCCTAATACTGTTTCAAACACAAGATACAAATACACATTGTAAATACACATGTAAGACATTACATCATACCTCATATTGATGTGCTTATCTGTACAAGCACATATAAAAATGTATCGCAGTGGACAACAAAAATATCCCCATCTGCAGAACAAAATGCCAGTTATGTTATGAAATTATGAAATGTGCATGAACTATAACAGCACCACAGGAAACACAGGCTTGAAGTCAGAACTAGAAAGATAATTTTTATATCTACCTATATATTGAGCTCATGTACCAAGCAATGAGAACAATCAGCAGTTGTGTCTCAGTGCTATTGAAACAAAACTGCCTACTCATTTGGTTCTTATTGCTATTGAGAGGTTATTTTGCCTTTTTAAAATGATTCATGTTACTTCCTTTGGTATGAATTTTGATAGTCTTTTGACATTTCCATCTGTTCTTGTATTTCTTAAACAAAGATTTTATTTTTTAAATCACACAAGTATAATAGCTTGAGAAGGAAACTTTCACCCACTTAAAACAAACAAAAATAAAATTAACCCACTGACCTAATGTTTTACAAGAACCAGAGAGAAAAATCTGGGGGGAGATGGGGAGTTACTTCCAAGACACATTTCCCTGAAAACATGTTTTTTATTTAAGAAGCAGAGGTCAGATAAAAGCTTGTATAAGCTGTTCTTCGTTACTTTTGGAAAATAGTTTCATAAGGTGAAAAATTGTTTCCAAATTTAAGTTTTGTGTATCTCACTTTATTTGAAGAATGGGAATTAAGAACCTTTTCCAAAAGAAAATTAGTTTTAATTCTCAGATGAAATTAATGTACAGAAAGCATTTTAGATCTGGCATACTGTGTCCAGGAACTGGGTTCAGATTCTTTTTCTTCCAGTGTAACCTCAGTGTAATGCAAGAGTCATTTGTTACACCAAGGGACAGAGGCACACCTAATATCTGTAATTCTTTACAGTCTGTTGGTGTTCCTTTGATAACCTTTTATGGGGGCAGGAAGGAGGTTTTTGTCACTTCTGCTGCAAATCTGTCCTGTCTGAGCAGCAGATGTAGTTGCCCTTTCTCTCATATAAAAAAATATTTACATCCTCTATTTAATTTTGATGTTGGTATAAGAAGCCAAACCAAGTCATCCATCTCACACTGAAAGCATCTTAGTACCACTGATACATTTCCCCAGCTTTGAGACTAAAGAAAAATTTGTTCCACTAAATGAAAGCAATCAAGTGGTTAATCCTTTCAAGTGCAATTAGCAGCACTGACATCCCTGTTCTTTAAATTGAGGGTCATGGGGAGGTAAAGGCCATTTCTGGGCCTTTTCTTTCATATCAGAATACCCCTTCACTATCTCTTCTGTTTCCAAAAACATCAGAGACCAAGAGAGAAAAACAGGCTTCTGCTTCCATTAGCAGTAACTTAAACAGCCATAAGTTAAAGGGGGAGGAAAAGGAAGAGCATCTCTATCTCTTCTCCCAACAGGAGACATCTGGCCTCCTGTGGGGAGGCCCCAGATAACAAAGAACCTGTCAGTGCAAACCTCCACGATGTGTTCAGAGAACCATTTTACCTGCAGTCTGGCTCATTCATTTCCTGCCACTGAAGCCATCTGCTTTTGCTTATTGTGGGTATTTTTGTTCTTTGTTTGGCCAGGAGCATGAAGTGGCTTCACTTTAGCATGCCTGTAAGCTTGGTCAGAGGGAGTATTTAATCCTTTTCCCAAAATGAATAAGAGAGGGAGCCGCTGCAAAAAACAATTCCTTTCCTGGAAGGTAGCAGAAATGTCATCCAAGCCGAGGTTGAATAAAGGGTCATGACAGTGCATGGGGTAAAGATACATTGAGATTGAAAAGAGATGCCAACTTGGAAGCTACAGCACAACCTTCCAAAGCTCTTGTAATCTTACCTGATTTAAATCCTTTGCTACTGCTTCTTGCAATTTTTGAGTCCATCTGGTTTTCCACATAGTGTTCTTCAGGCCCAACTGCAGAGTAATACAAGGTTCTGTTCTTGCCCTTGCACTGTGTTTCAGTACTTGCCTGAATGCTCTAAATATCAGTCTACATAAATGATAGTTACAGCATACTTGTACAAAATGTCATGTGGTTTGAAAATCCATCCTACCTACCCCTACCTTCAAAAGTGCCAAAAGAAGAAGAGAGGGAGGGAAACTTCCTATTAATTTCCCATAAGTTAGTATAATGCAGTTAATACACTCCCAGGTGCCATTAAGTTGTGTCTCAGAGTATTCTGGGATACAAAAGTTAATGGTGATTGCAGCATTTTTCCAGCAGGAAAGCTTTCTCACTAAGATCAAAATATGTGGCAGTTAAACTCCTGATCCACTGATACCAGAATATGAAGCCACCTACTAAGGTACTGAAGGACTCAATAGAGTTCCTAAACTGTTATTCCTTGTCTTGAAGGGCACCGTTTTAGCAAAATTCTAATGCTGTCATTAAGAATGTTAATTGTGACTGATCAAACTTAGTAATACCAACATTTAAAGGAAGTGTTTATATGAAAAATCTACCAGATTCTTCCTGTTTGCTTGTTGAGAAAGATAACATGTAGCTGCCATTTTACAGATTCAGAAAAGAAATGAGATGCTGTGGAATTTAGAAAGTAGTTTATCACATAAAACTACTCATATTGGTGTGATTTCTTCACCCCTATCTGCCAGAAATAAATTCAAATAATTCTGAAGTTCCAGAGTAAGAGGTGGGAACTAGTTCTCTAATGCAAAACAGACAGCAGACTGCATTTTCACCTCATGGAAAGTGGAAATTTTTGTCTAACTTTAGCAGTACTGGTGCGGTTGCCACATGATTTTACTGCTGACTTCTCAGACCACTGGTGTTGCAATAGGATGTTTAGAAACATACCACAGAAGAGTGAACAGAAGAGAATGTGCTCCACCAACATACCCCAGACTGAATCCTGCTCCTTCTCTCATCCTGTGCACTGAGCTTCCCTTGCTTGTAAAAGTAATTTCTGCCTCTGAATAAAGTGTCCATCTATGAAACTGGGCCCATAAGCCAGTTTAACTGGCATGAAATCTAAGGGCTTTAGTACAATTCCTGAAATTATTTGCTTTGGAGATGGATACTAATGAACTGAAGAGAATCAAACTACTTTAGATTTTAAAAAGGATCCTTTTATCTTTTCTACAGAAGAACAATACTTTGGGTTCCAACAAAAGAAGCTTGTTCAAGCTGAAACTCAGCCTTCATTTAATTTCCTAACGTTAAATAAAAATTCTTTATTTCAAGAACATCATAATGTTTTATTTCTTTCAAAAATTATTTTTGATGTTTTAGTTTCATGACTAAATAGTTTGCCAAATGCAGCATGAATTTCAGCTGACCTGAAACTGCATTTTCTAGTGATAGTACTGCTGAAACATGCAGTATAGTTTTTCTGTTTGCAGGTTTCTTTTGAGCAGAATTAATGCTACAGTCTTTTTCTTTTTTCATGTTTACAGCAGTCAAGGAAGCAACTTGATACAGCTTCCATTGTCAGAAGCATCACATAACACACCTCAGTCTACTTGAGGCAGTTGGATCACATTACTTCCTCTTAACCTCACAAATGTCTGAGTGTGATGACAGTATTGGCTTTACTCTGCATACCTGTGTTGGTTAAGAATACAAAAGTGCTTGCATTCTATTCTATTGTGACTGTGTTGGCAAAAAAATATAACATAGAAAGCTTTACATCACCAAAATCTTCCTCTTTTCTCTGAATATGGCTTACTTTTTCCAGAAAACTGGTTTAAAACCAATGCCTGAGGCAGCTGCCAGGGAATTGGCAAAACTAACAAAATTATAGTGTCAAACTCTTGAATGTAGAATGCTCTCTAAGGTGGGCATGGCTGATCTGATTTTGCTCATTTTAAAATAATTCATTGAAAAAAGAATGAAGCCCATGAAAACCAACACTAGATTCAAACAATTCAGGTAACATGCAATACTTGAGCTGTTCCAACATATGGATGGTCTGATGGCAATGGCCAGGATTTGGTTTT